GGAATTACTGTAATACCGAGCACAGCGCCACCTGGTGGCTGGCCGTGGAATTACTGTAATACCGAGCACAGCGCCACCTGCTGCCTGACCATGGAATTATTGTAATACCGAGCACAGCGCCACCTGCTGCCTGACCGTGGAATTACTGTAATACCGAGCACAGCGCCACCTGCTGCCTGACCGTGGAATTACTGTAATACCGAGCACAGCGCCACCTGCCGCCTGACCATGGAATTACTGTAATACCGAGCACAGCGCCACCTGGTGGCTGGCCATGGAATTACTGTAATACCGAGCACAGCGCCACCTGGTGGCTGGCCGTGGAATTACTGTAATACCGAGCACAGCGCCACCTGCCGCCTGGCCGTGGAATTACTGTAATACCGAGCACAGCGCCACCTGCCGCCTGGCCGTGGAATTACTGTAATACCGAGCACAGCGCCACCTGCCGCCTGACCGTGGAATTACTGTAATACCGAGCACAGCGCCACCTGCTGCCTGACCATGGAATTACTGTAATACCGAGCACAGCGCCACCTGCTGCCTGACCATGGAATTATTGTAATACCGAGCACAGCGCCACCTGCTGCCTGGCCGTGTAATTACTGTAATACCGAGCACAGCGCAACCTGCTGCCTGGCCGTTGAATTACTGTAATACCGAGCACAGCGCCACCTGCTGCCTGACCGTGGAATTACTGTAATACCGAGCACAGCGCCACCTGCTGCCTGGCCGTGGAATTACTGTAATGCCGAGCACAGCGCCACCTGCTGCCTGACCGTGGAATTACTGTAATACCGAGCACAGCGCCACCTGCTGCCTGACCGTGGAATTACTGTAATACTGAGCACAGCGTAGTGCCTTCTTTTGGATCAACAGCAAGAAACAAATGTGAGAAAGGCTGAACTTGATGGACACAAGTCTCTTTTCAGCTATGTAACTATGTAAATCACAATGTTCACACAGCCTTAGCCGCACCTCCTTGCATGTGACTTGCACAGCCTTCTTAAACACTTCCTGTAACGAGTAATCTAATGTTTACACTTCCTTTATTACAAATTATGTTTAATTTAGAATTTCTTATTTCCTCTGATAATAGTTTGCAAGACCCTGCATTAGGCCCTCCACATAGGAAAGCATTGAATCAATGCTTTCCTATGGGTAAACAGCCAACGTTGGATGTCCAAAAGTCCAGTAACATTCTGGAAGCGCATCCATGTCTGGTAGACAGCCACTAGAAGCTGTCTTGGTGCTGCAATGTAAACATTGCATATTCTCCAAGTGCAATAGGGACACTGTAGCCAGACCAATTCAATGTGCCTTTAGTGTCTCTTTGAGCTAAAGTTGTTTTGGTGCCTATCATGTCCCTTTAAGGCAAGCTTTACCCTTTACTTGACTAATACTGAGCCCAGTGCTACCTGACCATGAAATTACTGTAACTGGACACTCCAATGACCAAAAAACAAATCACTGTTTTGGATATATATTCCAAATTAAAACTTGCATGCATTTATGACTGCATTTCTTTTTTCATTATGGTTATATCTAAAAACGGCATGCAGATCTCTTGTCCAATCACAGACTTCCCAATGCAGTTGTTCAACAAACAAAAGTGCTTTAGGGATGATGAATGTCCCTTTAAGCTACACGGTTTGTAAAGATTTGCCATGTGTAGACAAAGCAGTCCCTATGTAGTATTATGCTTTAAAAAGAAACAAACCAGACGTGAAGAACCGATTCTGAGAGAGGAAGAGAAGAGGAAATAATAGGAGAAAGGTAAGTTTGAGGGGACATTAAGGCCAGAGTAGGCGAACCGGAAGCAGAGATGTCTCAGTTTAATCAGTATGAGTTTTTAATTGAAGGAGAATGGTCAGGAAAATTAGTTTTAAGGCCAAAATAGCTTTCAGTTTGACTATTTTGAGCCTAAATTTGAAATTCATTTGAATTCCTAACAATTCTCACTTGAGTGTAGAACAATGTAAAATACAAAATTTGGGCGAAAAAGAACGGATGATTTCAAAAAACATTTTTATTATTAGTAGGTACTTGTATAGTGCCGACATTTTCTGCAGCGTTGTACAATAGGGCAATACAGACAAATAATAAACACATACTAATAGGAAAGGAATAGAGGATCCTGAGCTACCGTCTAGCAGACACAATGATTTTAAACAAAATGCTGACATATGGTGAGTGTACAATCTAAGGGTAATAACTGGGAACCGACACAAATGATTTACAGGGAGTGTTAGATGTAATGGCCAGAGATCAGGGGTTCTATACAAGGACAGCGTAACTTGGGAGCTAATGAAATAGCTTAGATTTAGCTGAAGGGTGATGAGATAAAAGAATTTGGAGCCAAGAGGCTGGGAAGTGATCTACAATAAAGAAATACATAATTAAAATGTGTTCTCTGTAGCAGAGAGAGGTTGGGTGCAGGATAATATGTAGATTGTAGCAAATTAGAAGAATATTTAGGAGCAAATGTACAATAACCTGATAAATTCCTATCTTTGCGAATGAATAACACTTATGTAAATTGTAGATTAATATGGTTATTTACCCAACAGGAACTAACCAGGTTTGGGGCATTTTAGTCGAAAATAGTCAAAATTCGAATTAGTTGCGTAGCAGAATATTTTAAATTTGCAGTTCCATTTTTCAACTTTCAAATTCCTATTTTATTGAATAACCTTGTATATGATTCCTGCTGCATGTAATGCCATCAGACATGAACTCTCCCTGCACCTAAAGAAGCCGCTGTGAGAGGTAGCGCAGGCCACAGAAAACAATTTTTGGGTTGTGGGTACAAAACTGTCTGCAGGCCAGACGACTACAATGCAGATGGTTTAATGTAGAAGGCTACCAAGTTTTACTTTTTTTTTTTTTTTTAAACAACTTTATGATAAATCATTTTCTTTTTTGATTATGGTTTTTGCATAATGACTTTTTCTTTGTTGAAGACGAAGAAGTTGTTTCGAATCCCTAAAAATGGGCCGTTTTTTTCTGATTCTGTACAGGCTATAGGGAACCACAAATTGTTTACTTAACTCACCACATCAATCAGAGATTCTAATTATTACAGAATGAAATCAGCCCATACATTGTCTTTCTTTAACATTCTAACCTGTACATCCGCTGTTACATATTCCTGGACTGGCAAGCCATGTTTGTAAATCCACAACATTAAACCATCCGCTCGTTGTTATTGGACCCGTTATAACAGCGAGGCACGCTCTTACACAGTACGCAGGTAATTCTCAGGATTACTCAGATTTATTAACAAGGTAAATATTGTTTTTAAAGTTTAGCAGTTTTTCCATCTTCCGACACATTACACTGTACGAATACGTGACTGCCGTCATCTAATGGGATATCGCAAAACCAAGTCCATAATCGTACTCTTTTTTTACTGTTGTTCCCCCAGATTTGATACCTGATAGCTTATCAGCATAGGTCAAGGGCATTTCAATGTCATTTGAGATCGTTTTACGAGCTGTCAGTTATTGTGAAGGATCGTTGGGAGAGGTGAAAACGCAGAGGATGACAAGATATATTCTTTAAAAGGGACACTATAGTCACCAGAACAACTACAGCTTTTTGAATTTGTTCTGGTGAGTAGAATCATTACCTTCAGGCTTTTTGCTGTAAACACTGTCTGTGTTTACATTGTGCAGTGTTTACATTGCAGCCTAGTGATAACTTCACTGGCCACTCCTCAGATGGCTGTTAGAGATCCTTCCTGGGTCATGGCTGCCTAAAATGCATCCAAACATTCAGTATCTCCTCCCTCTGCATGCAGACACTGAACTTTCCTCATAGAGATACATTGATTTAATTCATCTCTATGAGGAGATGCTGATTGGCCAAGGCTGTGTTTGAATTGTGCTGGCACTGACCCTGATCTGCCTCCTTCTCAGTCTCAGCCATGGGAAGCATTGTGATTGGATCAGGATAACACTTCTGCTGATGTCAGCAGGCAGTGGGCAGGTCTAAAGGAAACTGGGACAAAGTAAGCAGCTGCAGACTTGAATACAAGTAAGATTTTACTATATTTAGGGAGGCATGACCAGGGTGCCTAGATGGTGGTTTTAACCCTGTAGCGTCAGGAATACATGTTTGTGTTCCTGACCCTATAGTGATCCTTTAATGGACATTCAATTGTTAAACCAATACAATTAGCAGCATTTATAAAACATAGTGTAGAGAAACTAATTGTATTAAACTTCAAAACATAATCGTTTTCCTGGCACTATAGTGCCCTGAGGGTGCCCCCACCCTCAGGGACCCCCTCCCGCCCGGCTCTGGAAGGGGGAAAGGGTTAAAAACTTACCTTTTCCAGCGCCACGGAGAGCTCTCCTCCTCCGATCCTCCTCTTCTTCTTCTCCTTGTTGAATGCTATGCCACGCGCTAGGCCAAGATGCCTTCCGTCGTGATAGGAAAGCATTTCAATGCTTTATGGACGCTGGCGTTCTCACTGAAAATCACAGTGAGAAGCATCTCTAGTGGCTGTCAATGAGACAGCCACTAGAGGATTAGGGGGAAGGCTTAACCCATTATAAACATAGCAGTTTCTCTGAAACTGCTATGTTTATAAAAAAAATGGGTTAACCCTAGAAGGACCTGGCACCCAGACCACTTCATTAAGCTGAAGTGGTCTGGGTGCCTAGAGTGGTCCTTTAAGCACATCTTTGGACTTGTGTTGTTTTTTTTCCCAATAGCCCAGCAGCATTAACAATATTTGAAAGGACCCTCTAGGCACAACTACTACTGCAGCCCTCTGGCTATTGTATCAGCAGGCAGGCTACTGGCCCAGCAGCATGTCATTTATCAAACTATTTTCAAGCATGCTCAACATTGGGCAAATACCTGCTGTTTGCTGGTGGCTGGATGCCTGATACGGTAGTGCCCATACTATCTACTAAACTATAGTATACATTTATTATACTCTATACTCACAATATTATACTATATATAAACTTTACTATACATTTATTATACTCACAATAATATACTATACAATTATTATACTATACACTTATACTATATATAAACTATACAATTACTGTATTATACTAAAAAAACGATACAATTACTGTATTATACTATACACATGCTATATTTTTACACTGTTGTCCACTTTCTGTCAGTATTAGTCCTGTTTATAAAATTAGTGTAAATGATATATATATATATATATATACACACACACACACACACAAAATACAGGGACGAGGGCACTCACTGTTCTTCAATTACTTTTCCAAAAGGAACGATGTAATGCCTTTGTGCTCCACGTTGGAACCAATATATATCCAAATATTTCAGGAAAGAAAAGTGTATATTGAGATTTCAAAAGAATCAATGTAACTTCTTAGTCCCTAGAATTTATTCTATCTGTATTTTGTATCACTATCAGGGCGTAGTTTGAATACAAGGGCCCTGTTTGTTGTCGATCGTTCTTTTTGTATCAATACTAGGTCCAATGTCTGCAACTCCTCCCCTATAATCTATTGTAGAGCAATCCGTGCAAATTTTAGATCCTTGTGTGCCTCAGTGTTAATGTTAGCTGCCCTATGTGTTAATGTTACTCTCCTGAGTATCACAACTCCTGCCCTTTGTGTTCATGTTACTCTCCTTCGTGTTGCTGCTCCTGTTCTGTGTGTGATGCCTGCGCCTTGGAAATTCTCAAAGACAAGTTACTGCTGGACGCTTGTGTCCCGGAGCTCAGTGATGGGTTATTGCTGGAGTCCTGTGCCCTGGAGATCAGTAATGTATTATTGCTGGAGTCTTGTGCCCCGGAGTTCAGCGATGGGTTATTGCCGGAGTCCTGTGCCCCAGAGCTCAGTGATGAGTTATTGCTGGAGTCCTGTGCCCCAGAGATCAGTGATGGGTTATTGCTGGATGCCTGTGCCCCGGAGCTCAGTGATGGGTTATTGCTGGAGTCCTGTGCCCCGGAGCTCAGTGATGGGTTATTGCTGGAGTCCTGTGCCCCAGAGCTCAGTGATGGGTTATTGCTGGAGTCCTGTGCCCCGGAGCTCAGTGATGGGTTATTGCTGGAGTCCTGTGCCCTAGAGCTCAGTGACGGGTTACAGCTGGAGGAAATATTAGCTTGCTCACTTGTTCCACTGCTCATCACGTTTTGTAACTTCTTTAGATCTATAAAGAAAATAAAAATAGCACAGTTTATTATTAAGCGCATGGCCAGCAATTTTCCTGTTTGGTCTGCATTCTTAAAGGAACAGTCCTACCTCCATAACAACTTAAGCTTATTTAAGTTATGAGGGCAGGAGGGTCCATACGCCATCTTATCTTCAGGAAATTTAAACACGGTTTAACCCCAAAGTTGGGTCTCTGAGGCCCGGCACCTGTGCTTCCCGGCTTCCTTCCTCTCTGCGCTACTGTATGAGGAGGGGGTCAGCACGGCAATCACTGATTGGCTGAGAGCGTAAGCGGTCAGTGAGCACCCATTAAGAAAAGCAGTGCGTAGTATTGCTTGCAATAGGTGCCCACCGACGCTCTGTCTGTCTTTGGCCACCCAGTTAACGCTTCCTTTTTTATATACTCTGTCAAATGACACACCATCAGGCTCAGGGTGAGAGTTCCCCCAGCCAATCAGAATCAGTTCTAAAGACCACACAGTGAGAAACCATAAGGAGTCAAAAAACATCCTTATGGTTTCTCACTGTGTGGTTTTTTGACTGCCATAATATAGTTGTTTGGCTACCTTCAAACTTTATGGTCACTCTAGTAGAATTTTGGAATGCTCCCCGTGATTTTATCAATTTAGAACCATATTAATCACGCAGACTGTGACACATTCAATTTTTAATAAAGTCAGAAAGTCTGAGGGTTCTGATCGAACACGGTGGATTAAAGAGAGGTTCAGCCAAAAGGATTAGTCTTTATCACCTCACTTTGTAAGTTTCCAGGGTCTGGATTTAATAAACCTTTGTGAATTTTATCAAGGCTTATTATTTTTACAGATCGTACGTTATTCACCAATTCCAGTTTAAACTCACATCGCGGAATGTATTTCAGTGATTTGGGTTTTTTTGTTTCTTTTTTAGCTTAGGAGAAGTATTTCAAAATAAATTAATTTATGTGGATAAAAGGCAGCGTCAGAGTACAGGAATACCCCCGTATGTATCTTTGACAGGTATATATGGACGTTGAAGGGGCACATTTGAGACACAGCCATTCCAGTTTTTTGCAAACATTGAATTTTTATGCTGGGTCCATGTCCCATTTTGAAGTAGTTGAGACAGTTGATTATTCAGACTACCCCACAAACGCATGCCACTTCTTAACGAATACACCGGGGTATTTCAAAAGGCATATTTTTAACTTTAGCGTGGGATAATATTTTGGCTGTTTTGTACCATGTGTAGTGGTAATAAGCATTTTTTCTGCCTTTTTGATACACAGAGTGAGTTTGCACAGAATATTCTGCAAACCTTATGTGTGCTACGACTGAATAATACTTCATAAGTTGCTCAGCTATGTCGTCTGAGTACAGCAATACCACAAGGGGAACATGTGAGGCACAGCAATTCAGTTTTTTCAAACTTTGAATTTTTACGCTGTGTCCATGTTCCATTTTGGAGTAGTTTAGCTGGTTGGTTATTCTAACTACCCCACAAAACGCATACAATTTTTTAAAATAATACACCCACGGGTATTTAAAAAGGCATATTTTAAACCTTACTTGGGACTATTTTTTTGCTAGTTTGTTGCATGTGTAGTGGTTATGAGCATATTTTTTTAAATAAACTTTTTTTTAGCTGTTAACCCCTAACTAGCCTAACAGTAAATTCCTCAATTTCCCACAAAATCCCACCCACCCCAGTTAGCTAAATATATCATTTTAAAATATTTAAATTAATTAAATAAATCGAACCACTAAGGGGTAAAAAATAAAAAATAAAAGTTAGCCCTCAGGGGTTAACAAAATGTGATCACAGTTTAATTCTGTGATTTGTATTTTGATCGCTGCAGGCAGTGATCAACTGGCAGGGAAGGGGTTAATTTTTATTAGGACTGGGTAAAAGGGGGTGGGATTTTTTGTACTTTTTTTTTTTTTTTAACGTTAGTAAAACATTGTTTTATTACTTTTTAAAACGTTTGTTTTACTGTTAACCCCTAGCTAGCCTGACATCAAACTCCCCAATTCCCCACTAACGTCCTCGCACCCCAGCTAAATATATAATTTAAAAATATTTAAATTAATTAAATAAATGTAACTGCCAGGAGGTTTAAAAAATATAAAGTTAGGTATAATACTGAGATCTGTATTGTGATCCCAGGCAGTGATCATTTGGCAGGGAAGGGTTTAAAGCAGGGGAAAGAGATGGGAATTCACTTCAACTTTTTTTATCCCAGGGAGAAGCAGATCACTGCTGATCTGTCTCCCTGCACTTCACACTGACCGTGAAAGAGCAGGGAGGCAGATCAGGAGAGCTGCAGGGACAGCGTGATCGGGTGCTTCTGGTCTGCCACGGATACCGAGGCACACTGGAGGAGCGTTAACCCCACAATCGCTGCGATCTGGGGTTAACTTTAGTAAATGGCAGAAAGTTTACGCCATGCGTTCTTAACGGAGGGACAAACAGTTGTTAAAAATCTCTCCCTGTATAATCTGATTATGTAGCTCAAACTGGGTGTTTCTAAGTCGCCAGACACCTGGGTGGATCAGAGGGGTTTGGCCTGGCAGTTTATTGTCTACTCCATCAAACTGGTCCAGGGCACTAGTGTGGATTTACCTGAAATCACATTAGGCGTCCTAAAATGTGCCATTTACTGTATACCTCTATAATTATGTTATCATCATATTCTTCCAATTCTGAGTTTTCAGAGATCAAACATGCTAACTTTAACTTCTAAAGTGTCCATTCTGGTTTCCCATGACAGGCGCAACTTCCACTGGGCATGTTTGGTACCAAACAAATGGATATAACCTGGGCAATCGGAATATATAGTCATATTGGGCCTTTTCATAATATAAATAACTGTTCTTATATTTCCTTACATGATGTCCTTTGAATAACCCAAAGTCAGAGCATATGGACCATTACATTTATGACACCCTATGTCCAGCTGTGGTGCTGGTTATCTGGTTGTTAAATTTTATGACTTGAAACACAAACCCACAACACGGACGCACCCTCACCCACACACACGACACTCAAGACACTGAGAGGAGGGACGCACGAATCCACTCAGGACACAATACACAACCCAAGACGAAGAGACCAGTGAGTCTCCTAACAATGGAGGTTGGACGAGAGGCCTGCGAGCCTCAGCATTTTCTGTACACAAACCACAACTGCTGTAAACGAAACGTATAAATCATATACATACGACCCGCTCAATAGGCCAAGTCGCAGAAGAAAATGTAATTGAGAATACTTGTGAAATTTGATAAAAGGGACTTGCAAGTCCGTCAACATTGTGGGCCTGCGAGCCCAACTAAAAATCAATGTTTTCTTATCTTCTGATAACTCACCTTGGAGACCTGTGAGTCTCTGAATCTTGAATAATCTATACAAATAAAAATTATATTCACAAAAAATATTTTATGACTTGGGCCTGGTGTTAGATCAAAGTGTACAATACATGTTATCCCAACAGGTACAAAAACAACTCATAACATATCAAATGCCAACTCATGCTTTGGCATGACAGTAATACTATTAATATTTAAAGCAATCCTGGGGCAAAGATCTAAGAGTAGAGTAATCAGCAGGGGCATTGAACAGGTTTCCAGGACAACTGCTCCACGTTTTGAATGTTGCACTTTACATATAATTCCCATTGTTCTCAGTAATCTGTGAGCAGAACGCTCCACTTTCTGTAGGAATCATAAAACATACTTACACATCAGTATGCAACGTCCCACCTTGGTCAACACCGACATATCTCCACATGTCCCTGGGATATAATACATGAATTTCAGCACTACCGGGTACTGAGATTTTGGCAAATCCAACATAAGAGGGATAAAACGCCCCATGCCACAGGGAGCTAGCACCAAGGCTTGGTTCAGCTGGTAACCACACCACGAGTCCTGGAGAAAATCAGGGGTGAGAAGCATTACCCAACAATGGCTGCTTCTTAGACCATAGCACATCTCAGAGGCAATGGAGCTCCCCACAGCCATGTCACGCATGGGCAGAAAGCAGCGCAGGTTCTCTGGCAGAGATTCCAGGTACGAGAGCATCTCAAACGCAAACGAAGAGTCCTTCTCGCTGTGGCAGATGTACACGTCATACTGAAGGTCCCAGCGCACACTCTTTCTTGGCCAGACAAGCGCCGGCTCGCAAGGCACTCTGTTTGGCGATACAGCCATTTTCACGGAGGTTTCTTGTGAAGAGGACGACGTCTTACATGAGGACGAGGTCTTACATGAGGACGAGGAGGTCTGTGATGAAGAGCTGGGCCTTAGATTGTTCCCTAGAAGGCGCTTGAAGAAGCCTGCAGAGCAGAAAGACATATCGTTAGCGCTATTAAACCCATGTTTGTAACTAAATAGTAAATAAGCTTATTAAAACCAATGTGGACTGACAGGTGACAAAATAAAAAAAAACTAAATACAGCCAAAGGGATCAGTGTTCACGAGAAACGCAGGAACAGATCACGTTTCTGAAATGTAAGTTGCTAACAGGCAGGACATTATTTGTAATCTACAATTAATCTATTTATTTCCAAAATGGTGGCCAAAGATTGAAATAAAGCAGACGTGGCAACTAGATTAAATTTAGGGATCAAAATCTTAGCCAGGAAATGGCAGACCTAAGAGATTGATGTCCTTGAACACATTACTGTACAATGTGAACTTATAGTCTGTATGAACGTGAGCTGGCTGTATAGTGATAATGGGTATGGACGGGGGCTGGCTGTATAGTGATAATGGGTATGGATGGGAGCTGGCTGTATAGTGATAATGGGTATGGACGTGAGCTGGCTGTATAGTGATAATGGGTATGGACGGGAGCTGGCTGTATAGTGATAATGGGTATGGACGGGAGCTGGCTGTATAGTGATAATGGGTATGGACGGTAGCTGGCTGTATAGTGATAATGGGTATGGACGGGAGCTGGCTGTATAGTGATAATGGGTATGGACGGGAGCTGGCTGTATAGTGATAATGGGTATGGACGGGAGCTGGCTGTATAGTGATAATGGGTATGGACGGGAGCTGGCTGTATAGTGATAATGGGTATGGACGGGAGCTGGCTGTATAGTGATAATGGGTATGGACGGGAGCTGGCTGTATAGTGATAATGGGTATGGACGGGAGCTGGCTGTATAGTGATAATGGGTATGGACGGTAGCTGGCTGTATAGTGATAATGGGTATGGACGGTAGCTGGCTGTATAGTGATAATGGGTATGGACGGGAGCTGGCTGTATAGTGATAATGGGTATGGACGGGAGCTGGCTGTATAGTGATAATGGGTATGGACGGGAGCTGGCTGTATAGTGATAATGGGTATGGACGGTAGCTGGCTGTATAGTGATAATGGGTATGGACGGGAGCTGGCTGTATAGTGATAATGGGTATGGACGGGAGCTGGCTGTATAGTGATAATGGGTATGGACGGGAGCTGGCTGTATAGTGATAATGGGTATGGACGGGAGCTGGCTGTATAGTGATAATGGGTATGGACGGTAGCTGGCTGTATAGTGATAATGGGTATGGACGGGAGCTGGCTGTATAGTGATAATGGGTATGGACGGAGCCATTGTATAGTGATAATGGGTATGGACTGCATGTATAGAAAGAGAATGGGTATGGACGAAGCTGGCTGTATAGTGAGAATGGGTATGGACGGAGCTGGCTGTATAGTGATAATGGGTATGGACGGAGCTGGCTGTATAGTGATAATGGGTATGGACGGTAGCTGGCTGTATAGTGATAATGGGTATGGATCTGTAGCTGGCTGTATAGTGAGAATGGTATGGACGGAGCTTTTGGCCAGGCAGTGATAATGCATGGACGGGCTGGCTGTATAGTGATGCTGTCGGGTATGGACGGGGCTGGCTGTGGCAGTGATAATGGGTGGCTTGACGGATCTGGCTGTATAGTGATAATGGGTATGGACGGGAGCTGGCTGTATAGTGAGAATGGGTATGGACGGTAGCTGGCTGTATAGTGATAATGGGTATGGACGGGAGCTGGCTGTATAGTGAGAATGGGTATGGACGGGAGCTGGCTGTATAGTGATAATGGGTATGGACGGGAGCTGGCTGTATAGTGATAATGGGTATGGACGGGAGCTGGCTGTATAGTGAGAATGGGTATGGACGGTAGCTGGCTGTATAGTGATAATGGGTATGGACGGGAGCTAGCTGTATAGTGATAATGGGTATGGACGGGAGCTGGCTGTATAGTGATAATGAGTATGGACGGGAGCTGGCTGTATAGTGATAATGGGTATGGACGGGAGCTGGCTGTATAGTGAGAATGGGTATGGACGGGAGCTGGCTGTATACTGAGAATGGGTATGGACGGGAGCTGGCTGTATACTGAGAATGGGTATGGACGGGAGCTGGCTGTATACTGAGAATGGGTATGGACGGGAGCTGGCTGTATAGTGATAATGGGTATGGACGGGATCTGGCTGTATAGTGAGAATGGGTATGGACGGGAGCTGGCTGTATAGTGATATTGGGTATGGACGGGAGCTGGCTGTATAGTGAGAATAGGAATGGACGGGAGTTGGCTGTATAGTGATTTTGCGTATGTGATGAGAGGTGAATAGATTGATCTACTGTAGTTTAATTTGTTATCAATGTTTTTTTTTTTCATTTTTACCAAGCGTGTGGGAATATGTGTGGAGCGTGTGGAAGATGGAGTGGTGAGTATGGAGCATGTAGAAACCAGCGTGGAGTGCGTGGAAGTTGGTGAGTAAAGTGTGGCAGTTGGCATGGCCCTGGTAGAAGTTGGCATGCTGTGGGAGGTTTCGGGGTTTGGGTGTCTGCACATGTAGAAAAACCACATATACCCCTCGGGTACATACCTGACATTCCTCTTGTAAGTTCTCTAAGAATTTCCGTTGTGTGAAAGGTCGCCTGCATTAAGGGGAACATTGACCATTATTAGTCTGCAAAGAGGCAGAAATAACCCACAAAGAAGTAAAGTGCAAACACAACATGAAAATTTAAAAATTCATATAAATCACTCGTGGGTCCAGATACAAATATCACTCACTAGCAAAGTAAACACAAAAAAAAATACACCAAAAGTGAGTGAACACGTAAAATGACATTATCCATCTGTTATACAAAACATCTAAGAGACAACATAAACAAAACAAGTTATATATACAGGAGATGCTCGAAAAATTATAATATCGAGCAAAAGTTCATTTATTTCAGTAATGCAACGTAAAAGGGGAAACTAATATATGAGATAGACGCATTACATGCGAAGCAAGATAGTTCAAGCTGTGATTTGTCATAAGTGCTATGATTATGGCTTACAGCTCATGAAAACCCCAAATCCACAATCTCAGTAAATTAGAATATTACATGCAATCAATAAAACAAGGAGTGTACATAGAACAATATCAGACCTCTGAAAAGTATAAGCATGCATATGGACTCAGTACTTGGTTTTGGCCCCTTTGCAGCAATTACTGCCTCAATGCGGCGTGGCATGGAAGCTATCAGCTTGTGGCACTGCTGGGTTGTTATGGAAGACCAGGATGATTCAATAGCGGCCTTCAGCTCTTCTGCATTGTTCGATCTCACGTCTCATCTTTCTCTTGGCAATGCCCCATAGATTTTCTATGGGGTTCAGGTCAGGTGAGTTTGCTGGCCAATCAAGCACAGTAATCCCACGGTCATTGAACCAGGCTTTGGTACTTTTGGCAGTGTGGGCAGGTGCCAAGTCCAGCTGGAAAATGAAGTCAGCATCCCCATAAAGCTCGTCTGCTTAAGAAAGCATGAAGTGCTCCAAAATCTCCTGGTAGACGGCTGCGTTGACCCTGGACTTAATGAAGCACAGTGGACCAACACCAGCAGATGACATGGCTCCCCAAATCAACACAGACGGTGGAAACTTCACACTGGACTTCAAGCATCTTGCAGTGTGTGCCTCTCCAATCTTCCTCCAGACTCTGGGTCCTTGGTTTCCAAATGAGATGCAAAAGTTGCTCTCATCAGAAAAGAGGACTTTGGACCACTGAGCAACAGACCAGGTCTGTTTTTCTTTAGACCAGGTAAGACGCTTCTGACGTTGTTTGCTGTTCAGAAGAGGAATACGACATCTGAAGCCCATGTCCAGGATCCGTCTGTGTGTGGTGGCTCTTGATGCACTGACTCCAGCCTCAGTCCACTCCTTGTGAAAGTCCCCAACACTTTTGAATGGCCTTTTCCTGACAATCCTCTCCAGGCTGTGGTCATCCCTGCTGCTTGTGCACCTTCTTCTTCCACACTTTTCCCTTCCACATAACTTTCTATTAATGTGCTTTGATATAGCACTTTGGGAACATCCAACTTCCTTCGCAATTACCTTTTGAGGCTTTCCCTCCTTATGGTGGGTGTCAATGATGGTTTTCTGCACAACTGTCAGGTCAGCAGACTACCCCATGATTGTGATTCCTACTGAACCAGACTGAGAGACCATTCAAAGGCTCGGAAACCCTTTGCAGGTGTTATGACTTACTTTGCTGATTAGAGTGGACCTAGAATATTGCACCTTTTCACAATATTCTAATTTACAGGGATTGTGGATTTGGGGTTTTCATGAGCTGTAAGCCATAATCATCGCACCTATGACAAATCACGGCTTGAACTATCTTGCTTTGCATGTAATGCGTCTATCTCCTATATTAGTTTCCCCTTTTACGTTGCATTACTGAAATAAATGAACTTTTGCACGATATTCTAATTTTCGAGAATCACCTGTATGTCTGTGTGTAAATATATAATATGACACAACTAAAGTGAGAATTGTGGGGAATTCAAAGTGAGTTCACTCTGTCACACTCCCCCTTTACTCACCCCGTCACACTCTCTCCCATTTACTCACCCCGTCACACTCTCTCCCATTTACTCACCCCGTCACACTCTCTCCCATTTACTCACCCCGTCACACTCTCCCATTTACTCATCCCGTCACACTCCCCCATTTACTCACCCAGACACACTCCCCCATTTACTCACTCCCCCGTCACACTCCTCCATTTACTCACTCCCCCGTCACTTACCCAGTTACACCCCCCTTTACTCACCCAGTCACACTCCCCCTTTACTCACCCAGTCACCCTCCCCTATATACTTACCAAGTCACACCCCCCCCTTTACTCACCCAGTCACACTCCCCCATATACTCACCCAGTCACACTCCCCATATACTCACCCAGTCCACCCCCCTTTACTCACCCAGTCACACTCCCCCTTATACTCACCCCAGTCCACCCCCCTTTACTCACCCAGTCACACTCCCCCATATACTCACCCAGTCACACCCCCCCCTTTACTCACCCAGTCACACTCCCCCTTTACTCACACCCCACTGCCTCACAAAATCTAGAAATGCCACTGTTTCAAATTTAAAGTCAAAATAGCCGAAGTGGAAACATTCTCTTAGTCAGGTATGCTTTCAGTTTGGCTACTCTGCCCTTTTTAAATTCACTTTCAATTCTCACTTTAGTAAATAGTGAGAAGTCAGTGCAGGGAAAAATACTCAGAGTAAAGGTGCACGAGGTAATAGGATTTGCAGCTGAGGGACTTTAAATCGAATGCAGTATCCTCCGCCTGTAGCCTGACACCGCAAGGGTTAAACAGTCAGCCAGGCACAGCAAGGGTTAAACAGCCAGGCAGCGCAAGGGTTAAATAGCCAGGCACCGCAAGGGTTAAACAGCCAGGCATCGCAAGGGTTAAACAGCCGGCCAGGCACCGCAAGGGTTAAACAAACAGCCAGGCACAGCAAGGGTTAAACAAACAGCCAGGCACAGCAAGGGTTAAACACACAGCCAGGCACAGCAAGGGTTAAACACACAGCCAGGCACAGCAAGGGTTAAACAAACTGCCAGGCACAGCAAGGGTTAAACAAACTGCCAGGCACAGCAAGGGTTAAACAGCCAGCCAGGCACAGCAAGGGTTAAACAGAGTATTCTGCACCTGCAGTTAATCAGGGTCTAGCTCACACTCACACTCAGTACTGAGTGCAGATGATTGGAAGTGTGACTCACCTGATCTGTGCTCCTTGCTGCAGGTCGTGGTGGTCTCCCAGGGCACATACTGTCCACTCAGTGCCAGCCTCTCCCCCAGTCTAGGCAGGGTGGGTGAGTGTAAATGTACTCAGGAGTGCTCTGGCACAGGCCATGCTGAGTGTAGAGTTTTGCTGAAGTTGCACCAAGTTCCTGAGCCCAGACTGTCAGTATACTCACTAACACTGCCCTTCCTCTTCCGCTGACAGGCTGGGCGTGTGCGCAAGGCAGAAATCTGTGCAAATCTGTGCAATGTAAGAATCTGTGCAAATCTGTGCAATGTGCCAATCTGTGCCATGTAACCATCTGTGCAATGTAACAATCTGTGCCAATCTGTGCAATGTAACAATCTGTGCAAATCTGTGCAGTGTAACAATCTGTGCAGTGTAACAATCTGTGCCAATCTGTGCAATGTAACAATCTGTGCAATGTAACAATTTGTGCAAATCTGTGCAGTGTAACAATCTGTGCAATGTAACAATCTGTGCCAATCTGTGCAATGTAACAATCTGTGCAAATCTGTGCAAATCTGTGCAGTGTAACAATCTGTGCAATGTAACAATCTGTGCAGGGCAAGAATCTGCAAATCTGTGCAGTGTAACAATCTGTGCAATGTAGGAATCTGTGTAAGGCAGGAATCTGTGCAATGTAGGAATCTGAAAATCTGTGCAATGTAGGAATCTGTACAGGGCATGAATCTGCAAATCTGTGCAATGTAGGAATCTGTGCAAGGGAAGAATCTGTGAAATGTAGTAATCTGTGTAAATCTGTGCAATGTAGGAATCTGTACAGGGCAGGAATCTGCAAATCTGTGCAATGTAGGAATCTGTGCAAGGGAAGAATCTGTGAAATGTAGGAATCTGTACAGGGCAGGAATCTGCAAATCTGTGCAATGTAGGAATCTGTGCAAGGGAAGAATCTGTGAAATGTAGGAATCTGTGTAAATTTGGGCAATGTAGGAATCTGTGCAAGGCAGGAATCTGTGAAATGTAGGAATCTGCAAATCTGTGCAATGTAGGAATCTGTGCAATGCATAAATCTGTGCAAGGCAATTAGGACCATTGTAATTGTCAGCACCAGGCCCAATGGGCTCTTAATACAGTCCTGCATTGGCGTGTGTGGCACCTACAGGAGACAATAGAGAATCACTGCAATACGGGGCGATAAGGAAACCGAAATTAAACATTCTTATTGAAGATATAAATATATATTTATTGAGTAGAGCTATATTTAATATAAAACAGTCAAAACAGGAGATATATACCCACAAAGAGGTTAAAAGAAAAATCACTATTGAATTCTGTGACAAAAAACACATTTTGCAGTTTCAGAAGATTCTAGTCACAGTTTCCGTAAAACCAAGCTAACTGTTTATTTCAGTGCTTTAACCTGTAGAGCATGAATATGGCACGTGAGTTAGTACGCCCCCACACTATAGCTTCTAACTCGGAATGAATATTACACCCCCCCGCACTATAGCTTATAACTCGGAATGAATGTTATGCCCCCACGCTATAGCTTCTAACTCGGAATGAATGTTATGCCCCCACGCTATAGCTTCTAACTCGGAATTAATGTTATGCCCCCACGCTATAGCTTCTAACTCGTAATGAATGTTATTATGCCCCCACGCTATAGCTTCTAAATCGGAATGAATGTTACCCCCCCGTGCTATAGCTTCTAACTCGGAATGAATGTTATGCCCCCACGCTATAGCTTTTAACTCGGAATAAATATTATCCCCCCACGCTATAGCTTCTAACACGGAATGAATGTTATCCCCCCACGCTACAGCTTCTAACTGGGAATGAATGTTCTGCCCTCACGCTATAGCTTCTAACTCGGAATGAATTATCCCCTAACTCGCACAACATTCTGGGTAATTACCCCCTAACACACAGCATTCTGTGTAATTACCCCTAACACACAGCATTCTGGGTAATTACCCAATAACTAGCACAGCATTCTGGGTAATTAGCCCCATAACTCACAACATTCTGCGTAATTACCCCTAACTCAAAGCATTCTGGGTAATTACCCCCTAACACACAGCATTCTGGGTAATTACCCTTAACTCACAGCATTCTGGGTAATTACCCTAACACACACAGCATTCTGGGTAATTACCCCCTAACTCACAGCATTCTGGGTAATTACCCCTAACACATAGCATTCTGGGTAATTACCCCCTAACACATAGCATTCTGGGTAATTACCCCCTAACACACAACATTCTGGGTAATTACCCCCTAACACATAGCATTCTGGGTAATTACCCCTAGCACACACAGCATTCTGGGTAATTACCCCTAACTCACAGCATTCTGGATAATTACCCCCTAACTCACATCATGCTGGGTAATTACCCCCCTAACACACAGCATTCGGGGTAATTACCCCTAACTCACATCATTCTGGGTAATTACCCCTAACTCACAGCATTCTGGGTAATTACCCCCTAACTCACAGCATTCTGGGTAATCATCCCCCTAACACACAGCATTCAGGGTAATTACCCCTAACTCACATCATTCTGGGTAATTACCCCCTAACTCACAGTATTCTGGGTAATTACCCCTAACTCACAGCATTCTGGGTAATTACCCCCCTAACACACAGCATTCTGGGTAATTACCCCTAACTCACATCATTCTGGGTAATTACCCCTAACACACAGCATTCTGGGTAATTACCCCTAACTCACAGCATTCTGGGTAATTACCCCTAACACACAGCATTCTGGGTAATTACCCCTAACACACAGCATTCTGGGTAATTACCCCTAACACACAGCATTCTGGGTAATTACCCCTAACTAGCACAGCATTCTGGATAATTACCCCTAACTCACAGCATTCTGGGTAATTACCCCGAACACACAGCATTCTGGGTAATTACCCCTAACTAGCACAGCATTCTGGGTAATTACCCCA